ATTCTCAACTATCTCAATGCCATTTCCTCAAAGAAGCCAAGAATTGCCATCATTGCTATTTTCTGATATGCTAGGTGTTGAAAGTTAAACCAATATTGTTTTTACTTCAAAATCAGCTAGGATGTCCTTCTTTCTACAGATAATAATTCCTGTTTATATCTTTGGTTCGAACAGTGTTTTTTAAACTTGGCAACTTTAAAGTGTGGGGAAGTTTGGAAAAACACTGGGTTAGGGCATTCACAAATTGTCAGTCAAAGCTTTAACACTGGCTACAAACTGAAAAGGGGCACAGGCTCATTTTTACAAAATGACTGTGCAGAAAAATGCCTAACATGTTTGTCTGAATCATAGGTTCTGCAGAGACTCCATGCTTGGTTTGTTTGTTTTTTTCTAATATTTGAGAACAGGAAATATAGAATAACAGATTTTGATTGATTCTGGACAAGGCCACAAGTAAGTGTCATTTCATTGTAACTCCCACATGCTTTAGTGCTTTTATAGCATAAACATATATTGTGTTTTGGAGGAAAAAATAGAACAAATAATGAAGAGGTGGTTTCATTAATCAATACCACCAGAGTTTTTGCTGAGGACAGGAACAGAAGGAGTGGGCTTCAAAAATTTCAGCAATGAGTTCTCTGCCCGGTTGCTGGGTGGGCTTCGCCATGGTGGGTGTGGCCTAGTTGGCTTCCTTCAGCCTGGCAGGGGGAGGGGCGTTTTTGCCTTCCCCAGGCTCCTGAGGCTTTCCTTGAGCCTCTGGGAGGTCGAAAACTGCCTCCCACGGGCTCCAGAGGGCCTCCGGAGGCCGGAAATGGGCCCATTTCCAGCCTTCCAGAATTTTCAGGAATCCCATTTTCCTCCTCCCCGAGTCTCCGCATGGGCCCTGCATTTACCGGGCATCCAAAATGGGCTGTGTGGAGACTCCTGGGAGGGGTGGGAGGGGTAGAGTGGAATGGGAGATGCCAGCCAGGGTTATGACTTGGAGGTTCTCCAAACTGGCCATAACATTATCTACAGGTTCTCCTGAACCCAGCCAAACCTGTAGCAGCGCACCTATGAAGAGCAGTGAGGAAGAAGCAACTTCCTAAATCCGCAAAATTAAGGGATAGTGTTGCTAACCATCCTCTATTTTACTTCCAAACTAAATGCAGATACATACTCAATTCAAGTATATCCCAATGCAAAAACATTTTTACATATTTTCAATTTCTCTTTCATATGTTTCTTGTGTACCTTAATCTAGGATAGAGCTCCAAAATAGCAACTCGAATTATAATGTATAGCTATACCTTTTGTAACTTTAGCACACAAGCACAAATATGCACACTTGGAAATTGTCTCACTGCTAATTAATGGAAGACACCATGCCAAGACTTTAATCAATTCTGGAATCTATGGATTTAAAAATGTGGTAGACACTCAATCGAGATTATTTTCTGTGATCTGTCAAGACCTTTTCAAAGCTACAATTCTGTCAACAAACCAGTGCATTTGCTCAAAGTAAGCCATAGGAAGCTCAGTGTGACCCATGAATAGATAGGATTAAAGCCAACATTTCCTAAAACAGTTTGTTCTTTGATTCTTTAATACAACAGAAAATTCAAATGGGATTGTACTGTGCAAAA